TTCACCTTTCCATACCTCATCCTCAAAGTTAGAAATGTCGCTATTTCTCTTTGAAAATAAATTTCGATTTTTAAAAGAAACATTCGCGGTATAATTTTAATTTTCGTTTTACAATCATCAGCCGCGTTATATTGTATTTTAAATGTTACTTTAAATATAAGTTATGAACGGAAAAATACGTCCAGGGTAGCCGAGTGGACAAGGCACCTGCCCGGTAAGCAGAAGGGTGTGGGTTCGATTCCCGCCCCTGGACACTTTTTATTTTTCCGTTCTCCATTACTCTTCATGTTTCACCTTTCCATACCTCATCCTCAAAGTTAGAAATGTCGCTATTTCTCTTTGAAAATAAATTTCGATTTTTAAAAGAAACATTCGCGGTATAATTTTAATTTTCGTTTTACAATCATCAGCCGCGTTATATTGTATTTTAAATGTTACTTTAAATATAAGTTATGAACGGAAAAATACGTCCAGGGTAGCCGAGTGGACAAGGCACCTGCCCGGTAAGCAGAAGGGTGTGGGTTCGATTCCCGCCCCTGGACACTTTTTATTTTTCCGTTCTCCATTACTCTTCATGTTTCACCTTTCCATACCTCATCCTCAAAGTTAGAAATGTCGCTATTTCTCTTTGAAAATAAATTTCGATTTTTAAAAGAAACATTCGCGGTATAATTTTAATTTTCGTTTTACAATCATCAGCCGCGTTATATTGTATTTTAAATGTTACTTTAAATATAAGTTATGAACGGAAAAATACGTCCAGGGTAGCCGAGTGGACAAGGCACCTGCCCGGTAAGCAGAAGGGTGTGGGTTCGATTCCCGCCCCTGGACACTTTTTATTTTTCCGTTCTCCATTACTCTTCATGTTTCACCTTTCCATACCTCATCCTCAAAGTTAGAAATGTCGCTATTTCTCTTTGAAAATAAATTTCTATTTTTAAAAGAAACATTCGCGGTATAATTTTAATTTTCGTTTTACAATCATCAGCCGCGTTATATTGTATTTTAAATGTTACTTTAAATATAAGTTATGAACGGAAAAATACGTCCAGGGTAGCCGAGTGGACAAGGCACCTGCCCGGTAAGCAGAAGGGTGTGGGTTCGATTCCCGCCCCTGAACACTTTTTATTTTTCCGTTCTCCATTACTCTTCATGTTTCACCTTTCCATACCTCATCCTCAAAGTTAGAAATGTCGCTATTTCTCTTTGAAAATAAATTTCGATTTTTAAAAGAAACATTCGCGGTATAATTTTAATTTTCGTTTTACAATCATCAGCCGCGTTATATTGTATTTTAAATGTTACTTTAAATATAAGTTATGAACGGAAAAATACGTCCAGGGTAGCCGAGTGGACAAGGCACCTGCCCGGTAAGCAGAAGGGTGTGGGTTCGATTCCCGCCCCTGGACACTTTTTATTTTTCCGTTCTCCATTACTCTTCATTTTTCACCTTTCCATACCTCATCCTCAAAGTTAGAAATGTCGCTATTTCTCTTTGAAAATAAATTTCGATTTTTAAAGGAAACATTCGCGGTATAATTTTAATTTTCGTTTTACAATCATCAGCCGCGTTATATTGTATTTTAAATGTTACTTTAAATATAAGTTATGAACGGAAAAATACGTCCAGGGTAGCCGAGTGGACAAGGCACCTGCCCGGTAAGCAGAAGGGTGTGGGTTCGATTCCCGCCCCTGGACACTTTTTATTTTTCCGTTCTCCATTACTCTTCATGTTTCACCTTTCCATACCTCATCCTCAAAGTTAGAAATGTCGCTATTTCTCTTTGAAAATAAATTTCGATTTTTAAAAGAAACATTCGCGGTATAATTTTAATTTTCGTTTTACAATCATCAGCCGCGTTATATTGTATTTTAAATGTTACTTTAAATATAAGTTATGAACGGAAAAATACGTCCAGGGTAGCCGAGTGGACAAGGCACCTGCCCGGTAAGCAGAAGGGTGTGGGTTCGATTCCCGCCCCTGGACACTTTTTATTTTTCCGTTCTCCATTACTCTTCATGTTTCACCTTTCCATACCTCATCCTCAAAGTTAGAAATGTCGCTATTTCTCTTTGAAAATAAATTTCGATTTTTAAAAGAAACATTAGCGGTATAATTTTAATTTTCGTTTTACAATCATCAGCCGCGTTATATTGTATTTTAAATGTTACTTTAAATATAAGTTATGAACGGAAAAATACGTCCAGGGTAGCCGAGTGGACAAGGCACCTGCCCGGTAAGCAGAAGGGTGTGGGTTCGATTCCCGCCCCTGGACACTTTTTATTTTTCCGTTCTCCATTACTCTTCATGTTTCACCTTTCCATACCTCATCCTCAAAGTTAGAAATGTCGCTATTTCTCTTTGAAAATAAATTTCGATTTTTAAAAGAAACATTCGCGGTATAATTTTAATTTTCGTTTTACAATCATCAGCCGCGTTATATTATATTTTAAATGTTACTTTAAATATAAGTTATGAACGGAAAAATACGTCCAGGGTAGCCGAGTGGACAAGGCACCAGCCCGGTAAGCAGAAGGGTGTGGGTTCGATTCCCGCCCCTGGCCACTTTTTATTTTTCCGTTCTCCATTACTCTTCATTTTTCACCTTTCCATACCTCATCCTCAAAGTTAGAAATGTCGCTATTTCTCTTTGAAAATAAATTTCGATTTTTAAAGGAAACATTCGCGGTATAATTTTAATTTTCGTTTTACAATCATCAGCCGCGTTATATTGTATTTTAAATGTTACTTTAAATATAAGTTATGAACGGAAAAATACGTCCAGGGTAGCCGAGTGGACAAGGCACCTGCCCGGTAAGCAGAAGGGTGTGGGTTCGATTCCCGCCCCTGGACACTTTTTATTTTTCCGTTCTCCATTACTCTTCATTTTTCACCTTTCCATACCTCATCCTCAAAGTTAGAAATGTCGCTATTTCTCTTTGAAAATAAATTTCGATTTTTAAAGGAAACATTCGCGGTATAATTTTAATTTTCGTTTTACAATCATCAGCCGCGTTATATTGTATTTTAAATGTTACTTTAAATATAAATTATGAACGGAAAAATACGTCCAGGGTAGCCGAGTGGACAAGGCACCTGCCCGGTAAGCAGAAGGGTGTGGGTTCGATTCCCGCCCCTGGACAATTTTTATTTTTCCGTTCTCCATTACTCTTCATGTTTCACCTTTCCATACCTCATCCTCAAAGTTAGAAATGTCGCTATTTCTCTTTGAAAATAAATTTCGATTTTTAAAAGAAACATTCGCGGTATAATTTTAATTTTCGTTTTACAATCATCAGCCGCGTTATATTGTATTTTAAATGTTACTTTAAATATAAGTTATGAACGGAAAAATACGTCCAGGGTAGCCGAGTGGACAAGGCACCTGCCCGGTAAGCAGAAGGGTGTGGGTTCGATTCCCGCCCCTGGACACTTTTTATTTTTCCGTTCTCCATTACTCTTCATGTTTCACCTTTCCATACCTCATCCTCAAAGTTAGAAATGTCGCTATTTCTCTTTGAAAATAAATTTCGATTTTTAAAAGAAACATTCGCGGTATAATTTTAATTTTCGTTTTACAATCATCAGCCGCGTTATATTGTATTTTAAATGTTACTTTATATATAAGTTATGAACGGAAAAATACGTCCAGGGTAGCCGAGTGGACAAGGCACCTGCCCGGTAAGCAGAAGGGTGTGGGTTCGATTCCCGCCCCTGGACACTTTTTTATTTTTCCGTTCTCCATTACTCTTCATGTTTCACCTTTCCATACCTCATCCTCAAAGTTAGAAATGTCGCTATTTCTCTTTGAAAATAAATTTCGATTTTTAAAAGAAACATTCGCGGTATAATTTTAATTTTCGTTTTACAATCATCAGCCGCGTTATATTGTATTTTAAATGTTACTTTAAATATAAGTTATGAACGGAAAAATACGTCCAGGGTAGCCGAGTGGACAAGGCACCTGCCCGGTAAGCAGAAGGGTGTGGGTTCGATTCCCGCCCCTGGACACTTTTTATTTTTCCGTTCTCCATTACTCTTCATGTTTCACCTTTCCATACCTCATCCTCAAAGTTAGAAATGTCGCTATTTCTCTTTGAAAATAAATTTCGATTTTTAAAAGAAACATTCGCGGTATAATTTTAATTTTCGTTTTACAGTCTATATATAGAGCCATGCAATACAGCACCACGCTAGATGAATTACATGTTTATTATGAAAATTGATGATACAAACAGTGTTGCCGGATGTTTATATTTACAAAGATTATACTATATACAACACTGGTCTTTCTCAGCCTGTATCAACAGGTCGTGAAAGAGCAAGACACGAAAGCTTCAATTGAAATATATATACTTTTATTTTTTCGTTATATATAAAATTCATTAATAAAATTATGTCAAGATGTATATATCGCAATTACCTAGATTCCACAGTTATGCGAGGAGATCGCCAGACACGAATCTTGTACAGATCATGCTTTAAAGCGTCTCTTTCACAACTCTCCAGGAAGCACCCCCTCGCACCACCTATGAACCTTTTTATATACAAACATGGCTACATTCGTCCAATGACGTGGAAGATCAGTTCCCTAGAGTCAAAAACAAAACATTTTTCTAGATAACTCTAAAGCTCTAAATTGTTCATGTTTTTCAAATACTATGACACATTCTCTATCTATGTCCCCTCTTCTGTCATTAGAAGTCAGTGCTGTAAATTCCCCTCGACTTAAACGCTATTTAATTACAAAATGAATTTCTCATCAATTACTGCGAATGGAATATAAAAACCAAATATTCATATAGTTTGGTATTTTATAATACAATATAATGCGGCTTATGATTGTAGAACGAAAATTGCAATTATACCGCGAATGTTTCGCCTGAACGAAAAACCGAAATTTATTTCAAGGAGAAATAGCGATTATTTCTAACCTTAGAGATGATGAAGTATGATAGGATGAATTGTGAAGAGTAATGATAAACGGAAAAATAAAAGTATCCAGGGATGGGAATCGAACCCACAGTGTTCCGCTTACCGGGCAGATGCCATGTCCACTAGGCTACCCTGGGCATATTTTTCCGTTCGTATAAGTTTGGTATATCAATGGTGAAGCCATCTAGCTTCAATACACCAGAATGTGCTTTGAGGTGATTACATCGCGGAAATATGAAAATGTAACCAAATATTTAAAGGTTCAATTTTGTGATTGTGGCATTTAGTGAAGTTATTAGGATGGACAGGTAGTGGACATTAAACTGTAAGTGCACTGTAACTGTAAGTGAACCTCATGTCTATTAATGTGAAAAGTAGTTCGACTTTGCACTTACAAATGTGCCAGAGCACCGATTGGTTACTTGCTCTCGCTGATGGGGTTGAATTGTAGCAAGATTCAGGAGCCATTGGAGCATTTTTTCAAACAGAAAAAAAAGTGCCCAAAACGGGAATCGAACCCGGGTCGTAGCGGTCGAAAACCAACGGTTTAGACAATCCTTCCACCAACCTCCTGGCTTGTAGATAAATACAGAGAATGGACACATTAATTTGGCTCAATGATAGATTTTTGATTAAGATCGAGAAGTTTGCGTTTTATAAGTTTTGTTTTCAATAATGATTTTTTAAAATTATTATTATTCCTATAGTACACATGGTACAAGCCATTATAATCATGGTGGGTAGAAGTAGGATATTGCTTTTACTATATGTGCATTACATGTATACATATCAAAATTCTAAACTATTATAGACGCGTAAGATTATTTTTAAAATAAACAATTTCTACTGCCCTTACTGCAATGCCAGACCCTCCCATTAATTTTTCCATTGCAGTAAGAGCAGTAGAAATTGTTTATTTTTAAAATGAATCTTACACGTTTATAATAGTTTAGAATTTTGATAACAGATGGCGCACTAATGCATCATAATATGTATATATATGTAGAAAGGAGCTCAAATTGTGCACTTACAAATGTACTAGAGCCCTGTTCGGTTACTTGCACTCACTGGTGAGATTAACTTTTGCTAGAATTGGAGTCATTGGAACAATTTTTTATTAAGAAAAAAAAATTCCAATGCGGGATTCTATCCCAGGTCATGACTATCGGAAAGCCACGGTTTATATCCCTCGTCCATCGACTCCCACTTTAAGAATGTAAATAGAGAAACCTGTTTTTCATAAATATGTAAAAAATATTCTATATATATTTGATAAAAATAAATATCAAAATAATTGTTGACTTTGCTTAGAATTATTAATGAAACTGATTCCAATAATTATTAATTAAACATTATATTTATTGATTTACAAGAGAGAGAACAAAATATAAAAGAGAAACTAATATTAAACAAAATAACTTTTTTTTTTCTGTTTTGGTAAGCGCCTATTTACCTGTGAGCTTACACACACTCTGTGGGGTAACAAATAATTAATATATATACAACAATAATAAAATACCAGCTTAAGTTACCTCTAAATAGACCCATTTTGTTTACAGTATTTTGACTCTTTTACACCAGTATTTTAGTAATAGAGGTAGTTTTGCCATGTATTCAACTGCTTTAGTTATTTATATTTGTTATGTACTCTTCTCCCTAATGTTCAATAATCTTAGGTAGTGTAGTTTTTATTAAAAGAGATTGTATGCTACTGAAAAGTTATATATTTGAATTATATTTTATTATTACAGAATTATCATAAGAACTAAAAAACATGAATATCTCACGCACTATTATTTTGATGACATCACACAACAACAACCAAGTCCTTGGTCAAAACCATATATACATATTATATATTACAATAGAAAAACTAAGGCTTTTTACTATTCGCTCTAACAAAGCCACTTCCCCCTACACCCCAGTGTGACCAATCGCCCCAGAGATGTCAACAACACCGGAGATTGATGACAATTTAACTCTCTGTCCTGGGGACTTGTTTTTTTTTTTTTTTTTTAACCTTCTGACCTCGTCGCCCGTATCAGTTACTATACCGGCCCTATCTGATATCAACGCTCCATAGACAATTGAAATATTGATTGGGAGAGAGGATGAAGCTAAAAACAATGGTTGCCTGTAAAGTCGGTTTTACGGGCGAAGATTTTACGTGACAACGGTAGAATATTTAGTGATATGAATATAATTAAATTGCACAATAGGAACAAGGAATTGAATAAAAATAAGAATTGCACAAATTTTAACTATAGAAATATATTTTGTTTACTAAAACATTGTACATGTAAACTTAAACTTAACTATTTCCTATTTGAGTGATTTTGTTGAGGATAGGACGATGATAGGAGAAATATGAAATGAAAGGAAGTGTTTCTGCTGTAATGTGTCTTGCGAAAGTCAAGTCGATAGTTGTTCCTTTTAACGTAGTTGACTTAGAAACGTTTGATACGCAATCAAGATTATACGTATTTTTCATGAAATTAAGAAACGAGTTGTCAGGCTTTACGTTTTTGTTAAAATCACCACACAGAAGAATCGGTATACTAGAATCAATTTGCACGAACGGTGGCACGTACTGGCTGTTGTGAATGTACGGACCGAGTCCTTGCCATAGTAACATTCCAATATCCTGCATACTAGCTCCTGGATGAATATATACAGCACCGAGTATGAACTTGAAGCTAGTATTAGCGGCGAAGCAAGTAACTTCAGTCATGCACATGTCACCCTTGGTTTTAATGACACGAGTTACGTCTGTAATCGCAACTTGGAACACTTCCGCCGTAGATGTCGATGATAATTTACGATAGATCGCCACTCCACCAGCCGCGTTGGTATCTGAGTTAGGTCGATTATTTTCCCTGGATACGCACTCATAACCCTTGATTGGAGTTGGTTCACAAGTGTCGCGCATCCACGTTTCAGTCAATACTAAATAGTCTGATCGTGGTATCACTGTATCTGTTTCAATGTCCGCGGCATGGGCACTTAAACTTTGACAGTTGATGTTCGTTACAATAAGTTGTCCAGCGTCGGTTGCGTCGTCACAGAATTTTACGGCTTGTTTGGTAATTGTGTGGAACAACGAAAGGTACTGCAGACGTTGACGGCACGATATCCTCCGTCTCCATTGAAGTACTGGAAGTTGAAGGCACCGTTTCCATTGTTTTGAGAGTGGTGATTCCTGTTGAACATTTGAAATTGAATGGATGAATTTTTAATTTTAAAGAATCAATTTGAAAATCAAAACACTTATTCAGATCGAAGGTTCAAATTTTTGCTAAATAAATTTGAAATTAAATAAAATTTGTAATTGTAAATGATGAAGTTGAAAATTAAAACATTTACTTATATTAGATGTTAAAATTCTTGCTCAACACAGTTTAAATAAAGTTTTCTTATATCTGCCACTTTTTCTTAATATTTGTAATTTTAAATAATCAATTCGAAAATCAAAACATTTATTCAGATCGAAGGTTCAAATTTTTGCTAAATAAATTTGAAACTATTTAAAATTTGTAAAATAATAATTAATTAATTAATTAATTTTAAACTAATAATTTACTTAACACTATCAACATTTATCAATAGTATGACATAACCTATAAACTCAGTTTCTCAACTTTTGTGTCAATCTAACAATTAATCAATCAATCATAGTTTACGATAATGAAATATCAGTGTACAATTATTTACCTTTATTGTTGTAGTTGTTGTAAATGACGAATCTAAGCACTCCACATTTTCACTACAGACACAGCTGACGATACTTTAACCACACGTGTGAACTTGTATTATGACGCTTTCTTGTTTTTCCAACGCCAAGAACGTTCGAGAAAGACAAAGACAGAGACAAGCATGCGCCGATTCAATGCGCCTAATTCTCTAGCGCTGCGCGCGCAGCTGCGCGCGCAGCACTCTCGTTCGGTGACTCATCGTAACGTTACCGGGCGTTACACTTTTTCATAAGTGACTCCCAGCCGCAACCTAATTTAAGACGTTGTCACGTCAAAATTAGTTCATAATATTCTCAGTTAACAGGTTATATAATATATTTCCAAAAGTATTTCCAGTATTAGAGAAAAACATCAGAGAATTCAGCTATTGTTCAGATGCCTTACTTGGTGTTGTAGCCACAATTTGTGATTGTAATTTATATTCTCATAAACACTATTCCTCTCCTTTTTTTTTCCAGCCACTATATTATTCTGAAACATCTTGTAGCAAATAATTCCTTCTAATACTGCGAGGTCTGCGACTTCGAAATTTGCCTCTTGTCTTTCTTATTTAATACATGTTGCATATCCTATTGTATATATTAATATGCTCAACTTAACCAAACTATGAGATTAATAACGGGAAACATGAGACCTACCCCTATAGACTGGCTCCCATATCTCTCTAACATAACACCTCCTGACCTCAGAAGAAAGAAATCTACCTCCAACCTTCTCAGTAAAATTAAAGCTAACACTAAGCTTCCAATCAACACTGTTCTCGAAATTCCTCCCCCAACTCGACTAATATCAAGGAATCCTGTATGGGTGGCCGATGAAAATGTAGATCTTAAAGAAGAGTGGAGAAACCGATGGAGCAATCTTGCCATCGCCAACAAAGACCTGGTGGAGGATCCTAACACCAAACCTCCCGGCTACAACCTACCTAGGAGGACCTGGTCAACCCTCAATAGAATCAGGACCTCTACTGGTAGATGCAACTACCTACTAAATAAGTGGAACATGAGTCCAGACCAGAACTGCGACTGTGGACAAATACAAACAATGCACCATATCCTAAGGGACTGTCCTCGAAGATTCTTCCAGGGAACACTTGGGGATATCCACCGGTGCACAGAGGAGGCCCTGGAGTGGATTCGTCACCTCGACATTCCACTCTAGAGAAACTTGCCAACATTGTTGTATTGTGCTGTAAAAAACAATATCATACGCAATATATATATATATATATTAATATATACATAATTTTAAAAAATGACGAAAAACTTTGTCTAAAGAGACAAAGGTCGCCTCTCCCGTCAAAATAGACGTTAAAACTAGACGCCATCTATTGACCGTCGCCGCTAACTAGCGGTCTCGGGTCGGTGACAAAGCCACAACACCAG